TGGTGGTTCTACTGGTAGTCCATACATCTTATTCCTGTAGAAGAAGCAGGATTGAGATGAGGAATGCAGATGACCTAAAATTAATTAAGATATTAAGAAACAGTGAAAGCTAAGGGACTTGAAGAAGGACATCATGCACAAGCCAAACGGACGGTCCTTTGCTGACAAACCTATTGTGTCTAACATGCATTGAATGGAGTAATTGGAAATACCTAATGCATTACTAGATACAAAATAAATTTTTCTGAGCTGATAGAAAGATGAGGGTGTTACTATAGACAGCTGAGTCCAAAGTAATAAAAAAATGCAAAGAAATTCAGAGTAATATGGAAAATAAAATAAGAAATGCTATTTAAGTGAAAGACACTACTTTCTTTAGAACAGTGCATTCCTTTCATGCCATGTCAGTCAGGGTTGCCATCTTTTACAAATTTTATCATGAGTTTGCCATGTATGTGGGGGAGGGTTGGGTTTAGATGTATTCTTTGATGAAGTCACAGTTTTGGGTAACATTTTTATGTTTCCTTTAAAAAAGAGATAGGTATAATTCTATAAATTTGTTCCATAAAGTGTAGCTTGGTGTCCCTGGGAAAAGTCATTAAGCATGAAATGGAGTGTGCAAAATTGATACAATTGCCTTTTCTGTCTGAAAAGTATTTTTAATCTTATGTACATACTTTTACAAAACACTGGGAGATGTGGAGATAAACCTGTTGTTCTGAACTCGTGTCATGAAAAGATCTTAACTCTTTATTTAACCAGCTAGACATTTTTCTCACTGAGGCAGAACTAGGGTTAAAATCCAAGTGAGTTTTACTTCTGGCTAGAGCATAACTGGACAAGATTGTATTTTTGTACCATAAATAAGGTTACAGACTTCAGGCAGAGCGAGACTGGGAACTCTTGGATTAAAACATTGGATTTAAATCCAGTAGAATACTTGAGGTGTTGCATATGTACGACAGTCTTCTAGATGGGTGAATGTTAATTATACTTTCCTCATTTTCCACATAAAGTATTGAAAACATGAATTTGTATAACAAGACTAAGTAAATCCTTGCTACACAGCAAGTGGTGAGAAGCAAAAAAAGGTAACAGCTTCTCACCCAACTTCAGCAAAATGTTTCTCTCTCGGTCTCTCTGAAGATTAAAGGGGAAGTGTACAAGTAGTGTCTGTGTCTAAAAAGACGCACATTTGTAGTTTTTGATAGAACCTTCAATAATGGTTGTTCTGTGATGCTTCTTCTGGTGTGTCATGGCATAGAGGGATGTGTCGGAAGAATCCTTGTTCCTCAGGTTGCATATGCCAGTAGGTAGGTGAACTGCATATAAAATTGGGAGCTAGTTTGTTAACCTAGAGGTGCTTCACTGATAGAGAGCAAACCTAGAAAAACGATGGGCCATGAATGAGTCCTAGGATGTGGGAAAATAATCAGGTAGAGAGGTTGTCCCCTTCTTAGTTACTCTTAGCAGTCTCTGCCTGCATTCCCTAACACTGACTCATGTTTCCCCTACTTGACAGCTCTGGCATTTGCCTTGAGCACCATAATCCACACAATGTCAGCTATTTGGGATCCTTGAGCCAAAGAGCTTCTCTTGTTTAAATCCACTCGTTCATCTCCTATTTCCATATGGAATTTACATTCAAAGCAGAGAGCAAATCAGTAAGACTTCATACTCGCCTTGCAGCGGGAGCAGTGTCTGTGGCTGCTCTGTGGACTTTGCCTTGCACATCCACTGTGTCTGTGTTTTATGATTCTCCCATTCTGGGACCTAGCTGCAGCCAAACCACGGAGGTGGCAACTTGGCATAAAAAATTCTGGAAACTCTCTGTGAAGCAGCCTTTGATTTTTGTATGGGTTTACAAGAGATCAGCATAATTCTATTTGAGCATCGTTAGGATTATATATTCCAGTGAACAAATCCAATCCTTAAAAGAATTTCTGGTCCAGCAGTGATTTCATCAGGCAGCTTTTGCCAACTGAACCCACTGAAAATGAAAATAAAATGTCTAGTGTGTTCTGTGGAGAAAATAGGAAGTCCTTTTGTGATGTGAGATCTTACCGAAGCTCATGTGAAGGGGTTAATTTATTAAAAGGCACTGGCTTTTAGTAGTTGCTAGGTAACATTGACCTTTCTCCAAAGGCTGTACTCCTCCAAGGAGGGTGTTTCAGCAGAGGTAATAATTCTGTGTGGGGTTTCCTCAATGAGTTGGTGGTAACCTATCCTTCAGGAGAGTTGGGAGGATATAGTTTTGGAACAAACTGTCATCTTCCCCCTCTCCTCTTCCATTCATGTTTCTCTCTCTGTTTAAAAAACAAAATGAATCAAACAAATAAACAAAAAGACCTGCCCGAACCAAACAAACAAATGATCAAAAAACAGAGGAAAAACACTTTCTCTAATTTACTGGTGGAACTACATCGCTACAGTTGCAAGAACTCCCTGTCCTCCCCTACAAACTGGGCACTAGAAATGTGAATGACTATTTTGTGCCTGCAACTATAAGAAGTTCCACATTAAGAGTTGTGAAGCCTTCTCTTCTGAGTAGTTAAAAAAGAAAAAGAAATATGTCCTTTTTCAAGGTGTTTATTGTAATATCTTTTCTCTAAAATGAGAAAGGAGTTAAAAAATTCATTTTTAAGTAAGATTTATTTTTGTCTCAGATTATACAGTAGCATTTTATCTTCTGCATTAGGATCACTGCTTAGACTTATTTCTTTACTGGTTCTGTATTTTGTTGTATTTTTAAGAGAAAAGGGAAAAAAAACTCTTGAAAATCCACATGCACACCCAAATGATTTGTAAGTTGATGAGACTAACCTAATGACAAGCAGTATATTTAGCTCAGTGACTAAAAAAATTGCAATTAGTGTTCTTTCAAAAAGAAACATTTTTATATAGAAAAAGGTGCATAGACTTCATCCTTATGGGCCAGGGTAACTTACATGACAACTTGTTAAATCGATTTTATGCTTCTTTTAGATCTGCTATTCAATTTTTTAAAGTGCAGATACCATGGCAACCCCCTCTCTCATATGGAACGTATGCTGCTTTAGAGATAAAGAGCAAGTACATGCAAAGATGGAACAGGATGACATGTAAACTTTTTTTTTAATATTCACACTTTGGATGCTACAGAGACACATTTTCTCTTAGCTGCAATATATTTTCTGAAAGAATCACATTTTGTACAATGCAATTAATCAGTCTTTAGATATTTTCATAAATATTATAGAAGGAAATTGCACCCTGTGCTTTTCTAATGTGTATGTGCATTTATTTGTATATATGCATATATATAGCCAAAGAATTATTCATATCTGCATTTATTTTAGTGTAAAATGACTCCTTAAAGTCTGACACTAACAACTATATTTTTACTGATTTTCTTACTGTTCCTTAATGGCAAGAATGTAGCACAGTTTTTTGGTTTTCTTTTAATGTTATGAAGGAGCTGCATAGCTGCTATGACTAATTATTTTTTAAAAGACAAAACACAGCTGAAGTATCAGTTCTGAGAAAAAGCAGGAGGAACTATATGTACTTGACTATCTTGGCAGTTATTTACATTGTCTGGATCAGAATTTTCAAAAGCATAATAGTCTACTGGATTCCTCAATTAGCTTTCTAAATACTTGACTTTAGAGAAGTCTGCTAGGGCACAGCATTTTTGAAAATCTGGTCTCTTGCTTGAGTTGTAGAAGAAGTTGGATTTAGGTTATGAGATATTATTTATATCCAAAACAAGAAAATTGATCAAGGAAACTGCCATTTCTTATCATCAAAACCTTGTTTCTTCCTGTATTCTATACCTTGGTTAGAGACAGGATATATGTGAAATTTCAGCATCTTGCTGCTCTTTTTATTTTCATATTCAACCCTGGTTCTGTGATTAAAGACAGACCTGAAATATTAGTATGTGGTAGTTTCTACCAATACAAGCTGAGCACTCATTTCAGGTTTCTGAATGAGTTAAAGAAGGAAAAAAAATATTTTTTTTTCAGGATTTAAAAGCACACTACTTAATGAGAAACCCTTGTTGTTCTGAACCTCAGTTTTGTCATTCCCACCCATAAACCCCAACAAATTACTCTCTTATGTGATCTTGGTTTTGATTATACAGATGACTTTCACGTGCTTGGAGCACTGGAGGAAGGCAGGATGTAGAGTCCATTGTTCCTTTTCTTCATCATTCTTCATCTCACATCATTAGTCCTGAGATCTGAGTGTTTTTTAATATGTCATTATTTAAATCAACTAAACTGCCATGCATCGTCTTTCTTATGTTTTACTGCATTTTTGACACATGCACTAGTGTTTGACTGTTTGTTTCCTGGTCACTCTTTTCACTTGTTGGTATTAAGTTTTGTCAACTTTCATTTCTTTTTGCAAACTTTAATAGGTTTGAAAGTTTAGTTTGATTTTGATAAGCTTGCACAAGTCCCAGGCTGGTATATCAAATATGCTTGTGGCTGCAAATCTCACAGGGAAAGACTCCCATAAGAGACTGACTACAAATAATAAAAGGAAATTACTGTAAACTATAAATGAAAATATAAGCTTTTCTTTTTCTTTACACCTTTCTACCAACAGTGTCTGAACCAACTTCCACTAAAGTAGGAAATCCCATTGATGGTGTTAGGATGTTTGCCAGACATCCAAACATAAGAGGCATTCACAGTGGAAACTCCAATAATAAGAAAAAATCGCTATTAGAAAATTAATTCTGCATCTTTGAATTATAAATAAATCTCTGTTCCTGTTTAGGGGGATTGGATGCTGGAGTTCATGTTCACAATGGTTTTCCTTTGTTGAAATCAATTTGCCTGTACCAACCATTTATGCTTTAACAAGAAAGTAATGTGATGGTGAGAAAAAGCATGGCATATTGGGATGTTCCTCTGAGTGCTATTCCCTGAGGCAGCTGCTGGAGAGTATTGAAGGGCGGCTAAATCAACATTGCCTACTTTTTTTTTTTTTTTTTTTTTTTTCCCCAGAGACCAAATGTGTAGCCTCTGTGATGCAAATTATATTTAACCAGCTCTGGGGACTGAATATGGATTGGTGCTTTGGTGAGTCTGGGTCTTTCTATGTGGTCACAGAACAGTTTTTCTCTATGTTACAAGGCTGACTGTGGTACACATTTGTATATAAATAGAGCAATGAGTTTGTTTTATAATTATTAATCACAGATCTGAATTAATTTGTTCTTTATTTCAGTTTAGTTTTTATGAAATGAGTACTTTCAAAGTGAGTAGCAGTGTTGAAAACTAAGATAACTGTAAAGAGTATTGCCCAACTGGATCTAATAAATGCAAATTGAAGGAGTAACTTCAGTCAAAATGCATTCTTAACAATACATTCCAAACAAGCACATTTATTAATGTAGATAGCGCATCTTGTACCTTCCCAGCTCTGAGTTCATTGCTGACTAGAAATCTTAATAAGTATGTTTTACAAATGCTTTTAAATAATGATACCTTCAGGACAATAAATGACTTACAAAAAAATTAAGGACTCTAAGGTCTGTTTTTTAGGCATCAGCAATCATTATGAAGTGAATTTTGTAATTCATGTATTAATGAGCGCTAAATAGACTGTAAATGGTACGGAAAATGTATTCTTTATTTATAGATTGTAGCAAATACTCAAGAAATAACAGTAAAATTAAGCTATATAGAGAGATTGATAGATGCATTTTTATTATACTTTTTGCTGACTTAAGTTTTCACTTGTGGAAAATAATCTTGCCTATATTTAAAAAAAAAGGATTAAAAAAATTCCCCAAATTAAATTTTTTACTGCTATCTTTAGTAGCCATTTCTGTGACAGTATTTTATTAATTGTAGTTGTTAGTAAATTATTTGTGTTCAAAAAATTAATTTATGCCTTAAATACTTTCTCAAATTATATCTTTTTTTTCTCCTCGTACAGAAATCCCAGATAACAAACTAAATAAGCTCCTAGATTCAGATTTGAGGTAAACAATTAAAAACATAAGTTTAAAGTGAAAAACAGTTCAGGAAATTGCCTGATGGGCTTGGCTTATTTTCATCTTGGCACTACTACTAAACATCATATGATTATACTTTATTTTAAGGAAAGACCCAGAAGTAAAAAAATAAAACCAAACCACAAACAGAAAACAACCACCACCACAAAAAATGCCGTTGAAGAAGTTTTTTTTAAGATGCACACATCACATACATAAAATAGTGCAATTTTTTCCCTTATTTGACTGAGGCTTTGAGACAGGGGCGCAGGAAGGTGTGGGGAGGCAACTACAAAAAATAAAGAAACAGTACTTACCATAAAAGATAGACTTTCTCTTAAAATAATTACCAAAGAAAGTAAATTTTGTCACAACTTGCCAAATGAAAGGTTGTTATAACTCTTTTTTGAATGTAAAATGTTTTAACTGAAAATAGAATATCTTAATAATTTAGTTACCCAATACAAAAAATATTTTTATAGCAGTAAACCCCCCAGCAATTCAAAGTATTTCTTCTTCCAAGATAAGCATTGTTTTTAAATAAAAACTTGAATTAGTGTCAGATTTAGGACCTAAGCATGAAAAACCATCCAAAAATTGTAGACGTTCCCATTAACTGTTATTTAAATGTTGTCAATCAAATCTGTTTGCATCTGGTACTGATGCCATGTGAAATTTATTTATTTAAACTTTCAGTCACACATGGAAAGTTTTGCAGATGGTGCCTCTTCTCATCTGTTTTTTTCCAATTTCCCCCCAAACTCCAGTTCCTACTCTCTCGACCCCCCAATTTGATTCCTCCTTCTTCTAAAAAAATAGATCTAATCAGTAGCATGTTAAACAAGAGGGGATCTTTTATGTATTCTGTGTTAGGACAAGGAAAGCATCGCTGTAGATCACTAGAATAAACAACTCAGGCTGATTCAATTACAATGCCTGGGCCAGGCTTTTATCTGCTGGTGACATCATTTCAATCAAAATGTAAAATAATACAATCCAATAGATGCAAGAGGGAGAGATAGGACACAGACTGCTGCACTTAGTCATTTAATAAAAAAAAGTGGAAGAAAGCTCTTTCTGACAGGCTGCTAGGACTTCCATTTCCAAAACTCTATTACCTTGTATAATAGTATTCAAAAGAATTGAATGCAGGAAATTGTCTATTACTTTTTATTAGTAGAAGCTGTTATGTAGGATACAGCCTACTGCACTGTTTTTTCTTTGTTCCTTTAATTAACAAGAGCATGAAATCCTTCTATTGGCAAGCACTTTTTCCAAAGCTTCTGTTGCCTTCAGTTTTTACTGAAAAGGTAGGTTTTTGTTCTTTTCTTTTCTCTGAATGTCTTCTTTTTTTCTTAATACTAAAAAAGCAATTTTTTTCAAGTCACTGTAATCTAAAGTCTATCAGTCACCTTAATGGGCTAGGAGAGGGCAGAATGAGGATACATTTCCATAGCCATAGAACAATTTTATAAGAAAGTTTCACATTTGAGGAGTGAGGGAGATTCAGATTGCAACCATGTATAGCCTGGTGCCAGTCTTTCAACCATTTGACTTGCCAGCTGAAACTTGGTTTCATTGCTTAATTTATTATTTTGCTCTATGAGCAAAAGATAAATTGATACATATTGATTTGATAAATGCATGATGCAGAGAAACATATTCTTTCATCAGACTATATCCTCGATCCCATAAGATTGTCTGTGACAGCATATGACAGGGTGTCATGAACCTGGCCATCCTACATAATTCTCTCAAATTTTACTGGGAGTGAAAGTAGTAGTCCTGATTCCAATGAGGTGTATTTCCACTGACTTCTACATTCATATGTAAAATATACCAGAAAGCAGATATGAGGGGTAGAAGTCTTGGTCTTTGGAGAGAACATATTTAATTGATTTTAATGATTAATTACATATATAATTCAGCTTCACTGTTATTAGATTCATAAAGGTCTTAGTAACTTTATTTAATAGTAACTTCTCTAGCTAAATTGTGACATTGGGTAATGAACAGAATCTTGCTAAGAGCGAACAATGACTATTGCAGCTGTCACTGAAACACTCCTCTACCGTGCCTACCATTTGAGGGTGCATTATGAGGAAGTGGATTGAATCAAATGGCTAACTGCAGATGATGTCGAAGGAGATGTAACTCCTTAAAGGAATTTTATCAACATTTTCTTTACTAATGCAATGATTTACTTCTTTTGCACTTACCGTAGCAAAAAGACCTGAAGAGAGCTGAGGTAGTCTGTGGTAGTCTTGAAAGACGTTGACTTATGTCTTCTCTTACTAAGAAAGAGATTGCTACCATTCTGGATAGCATTATTGTTCCAAGCATGTGGTAAGGTTTTTTTGATTATTTATGAAAAGGATACATTGAGGATGAAGTAATAACCTATGCTGGGAATGAACTAGCAACTACTGTAATCACTGTACCATTTTAATCCTCCCTTTCACAACCATCAGATGTGTTTTATAATTTTTCAAATTCATATTTGATATACTATCATTTTTTTACAATGCCTGTGATGCTAACCAGTATTCTCCTGTTGCAGTGGGCTTGGACCCTAGCAGGCTGTAATCGTGGTCAAGATTAGACAACCCATGTTAGGCACACAGCACCTGAATGAACACAGACCTAAGGTACTAACAAGAATAGTTTAAACATGTAAACTAGTTATCTAAACTCCCTATCTATCGAGGCAATGAAGAGATAAGAACTCAAAAGGTAAAGAATGCTTAAAGCTGGATCTTGGTCTACATGGGACAAGGGCACATGGAGCATTACTGCTGCTGTAATTTGGGTGCCTGAGCTGAAGCTGCATAAGCTGAAGTTGCATATGAAATTCTTCAACTCATCTTTTATTTTCTGATCGTGTTCTCACATCCTCAGGTAAGATGAAAGGTGGACCAGTCCTAGGCCGTATCAACACTCCAGAGGTAAAGGGTCCTTTCTGGGAAAGTGAGAGCTATGGATTTCGACTCCTGCAGGCTGCAGGAGTGTCTAGTACTTTGGTCCCTTAGCTTTTGGCTGAGTTGTCTGGTAGGCTGTTTCTGGAAAAGAAAGGTATTTTACGATGTCTATGACTGAGCACTGGAATAGGCTGAATTCATCATTGTCCAAGTATCTTGAGGAAAGATCCATATGTGCATGATGAAACCGAGACAGTTACATGTGTCTTCAGCCATCTCCCAGTCCCATCACAGATTAAGGTGTGTTAGCTTAGAGAAGGGTAATGCATTTGGAAGACTATCTCAGTGCTTAGGAAACACTGTCATTCAAAATGGAGATATGAGTTGATTGTAGACACCCCTGGACATAGTGCTGGAGAGCAGACACTTAGAGATTCACTGAGTTTTCATCTCAGTTCAAGTGTAACTCATATGATCTGCATCTTACAGCAGAGTTTTAACCTAAAAAATGCATGTATGTCAAATTCCATGAGTTGGAACTGGACCTTTTCCCACAATATGTCAGCCATATTCAACCACAAATTGCTTTTCTTACCTTATGTAAACATCAAAACTCTCTTTATTCTGACCAAAGTCCTCCCTTAAACATATGTAGTTGAGACCCTTCTGAGTCGTCTTTCTTCACAGGAAAATAAACCAGGAAGGATAGCAAATGGCAGAATGTAACAACTTAAATCCAGAACTGGCCTACTGTAAAATGTTTTTGTAAATGCTGGGGATATAGTCCCCTCTTCATGAAAGTAGAATGTCTCATGTACCTTTAGAGTTGAGCCATGTAGGCTTTTTGGAAACATATTTTCAGTGAGTATCCATGAATGTTCAGTTTATAACATAAAAATTGTTTTCCTAGAATTTCCAAAAACCCTAATACGTTCGGAACATGGATTTTTAAAAAAGATAAATAAAGCAGTACTTGCTGTTCCTGATTTTCCAGACAGTCTTGTAGAACCAAGGAATTCAAAGGTTACCTTTTCTGCTGGATGCTTCTCTCACTTCTCCTGCTGTGCTGCTGTGCTTTCCACTTTGCACATCTCTGCCTAACTTTTATGAATTTTAGTCCCATTTTCTAGCCCCACTTGATCTACTCCTTCCTCCCTGGAGTCAGCACTTGATTTACTGCTTTTAGCCTGATGTCTTTGTTCTCCTGCAATTTCTTGACTCCCCAAGCTCTGTTCCATTTTAATTACAGGGATATTCTCTCCTGAAATCTGAAGGTTATGGAGTCCTGTCCTAGCTGACGATTATTTCAAGGTCTACTCAGAAATTAGTGTGGTTTATTTTTTTTTTTAGTGACCTTACTTTTCCATACTACATGTCAGTATGTTTTGAATATATTTGACGTAATTCATATAGCTTAAAAATCTAGACATATTGTAAGAAATGTTTTTTATCTAAGAAAATTTTGTATTTTAGCTCTTAATAGGTCTGAATAGTTCTGTAGTTCTTATTAGATGCATCTGATGTAACAAAAATATAAAAAAATGGGGATAATTAACTGTTACCTTTGTATCTTTGTACCCTGTTTTTTTATTTTTCCATCATTAAAAATAATATTTTTCCAAATAATAAAATAATGAATAATAAAATTACAATGTTTTAAAAATAAAAATAATAGATAAGTTTTTGCAAAAGTAGCAAATCCCCGACTGGTACTAAAAGCAAGCTAAGTATCAAATCTACTCACCTTATAGCTTGTTTAGAAGTCTTGGTATTCCTGTATCTTTCAGTACAAGATGAGTCTTTTGGGTGTAACAGTATGTACAAAATGCATCAGCCTTTTCTTAAAATTTGACTTTTGGAAATAGTTTTACAAAGTGTCAGTATTATGTAAGCAGGTAGCAGGCAAGAGCAGGATTTGGGATTTTTTTTACAGCTTTCACACAGTGCATTTAATCTTCATGTCTGTTAGGATATTTTATATTATGTTGTTTTTGAAGGTTGTATGACTTCAGTTGTTGGCCCTCCATTTCACCGTTATGTTAACCTAAATTATACTTTGTTGCGCATGCATGTTTGGTGAGCAGGCTGTGTGGTCAAAAAGATTTACCTGAGAAAGCTTATACAGGAATGTACTTTATTTTGTGAGCATCTTGTGACATGCTGTTAGTGCTATATAAAGTGCACATGTTAGACCTATAGCTGAAAGTATAGGTCTGCTGTTTAACGTGAGTACTGCAACTGATGAGACTTCCATAAAACTTCATGCTGCCCCCACATGAATGGACTTACGCACCTAAAGAAACAGAATGAATTTAAGCCTGTGGATCTAAATCTGAGATTGTAAATCGCATCTCGTCTGCTGAATGTTGGCTCCCAGACATCTTGGCTTTTTTAGTCAACCAGAATTGTCCCAGGCTTGATCAATCAGAGCAGTTTAGACCATCTAGAAGCAAAAAAGTAGATTTTCTATCTAATTCTGAATCCTTTAAAAATCTGACTCCAGGAAGTGTTTGGAGATGGTACTGGATTAGTGGCTGCTGGGATGGGACTCACCTGAAAATACAGGGACAGCTAATAACTTTGTTGGCAATTTGTCTGGAGAAGTTCAGTGTTAGAAAAGCAGTTTCTGGACATGCTCAAGTCATCAGAAGATCGGATTGAAAGCCCTTCACTGCTAACAGGGCTATCTCCAGAAACAGGCAAAGCAAGGAGTTGTATAGAGCAGCAACATAACTGTAACTGGGTTGGCTGCAGTTGCTGCTGTACAGAAAGGGTAAGCGTGTATGGGGAAGCCTCTGGATGGGATCCATACCCAGTCAGTGCTGTGATGTCTCACATCAGTGCAGACAGGAGAGGATCTGTGAGCTCCTCACTGCTTTATTCAGTCAGGGTGCCACTCCTCCTCCCTGCACTTTCCTTACCCATGGGAAGAGTGTCTCACTCTTATGGTAGTGTTCAGAAGGCAAAATTCAATTTTACTGGCATTACTGAGAAGTCTGAGCCAGCTCCAGCTGCCTGAAAGACTTCAAATCAGTATCTCCTACAATGCTGCCTGCTGAGGGGCTGAGCTGGAATCACTTTTCTCCCTTCCTATTAAAACTGCACTGCTGTGCGTAGAGTAGCTTGAGAGAGAGAAATTTTACAGCCTAGTGGTTACAGTATTCACCTGGGAGGTGAAGATGGGGAATCCATTTGTTGTGTAAAGGTCTGTTTATTAAGTGGCCAAAGGAAATGAAAAAACAAAGAAGGAAAGAGGAGATAAAATGAAAGAGATAATAACAAACAGCAAAACAGCTCATAGTGAAAGGAGAATTTGATTCAGCAAGTTCTGTTGAAATGGTTAGTTTTAGATAATTCACTATGAAAAGGCAGCTTTAAAGAGATTTTGACGACTTAACACAGTCTCTTCCTGTTTTCCATCATCATCATAAATTTCTTTTAAGGACAACCGGTCTTAAATATGCATTCTTCCTTCTCTAAGCTGTTCCAGATGGGAAATGGCATAGTTTAGAGAGGAGTTGGATCAATAATCTTCCTAAATAGAAGATTACCTAGGCCGAGAGCCACATTTTGTTTTTGCAGTCATTGAAGCTGCCCAGTATTAGAACATGGTCTTGAGTTCAGGGTGTTAGCGGGAAGCCCACCTAAAACACTGCTGTGTCTGAGTTATTTTTAACATGGGGTAAAAGCATTGTGGCAGCAATGGAAGTGTCTGGTATTAGTGTCTTTGCATTTGAAATGTACCTATCCGTATTTAACAAATATCTTGATTATGACATTAATTTCCAGTATGTTGAGCTTATTGAAATTATTTTAAGCAGCATCCAGGTAAATGCTTAAGAATTTTAAATCAACTGAAACATGTATAAAGTCTATATTAAGATGACTTTGATTTGGTAAGACTAATGCCAGAGTGATCAATAATGGCATGACTAAAGGACATTTATCCTACCGTTCCACATATGGAGAGATCTGTGAACACCACAAAATAAACTGCTTGCCACTTTGTCTGCTGGTGCTGTTAGGGGGGACTGAAACCCTGCATGAAACTGGATCTGTCCCTTGGCAGTGATCCCAGTTAAGTAGGCATGTCATTTATCAATGTGCCAATAACATAATTTCTGTGATATTTTTCGTCCATGAATTTTACATTGATAAGAGACTTCTTCAGCCAATAATCTTGCTTATTATATCGTACAAAGAAACTACTTGTCCTTTATTCTCCTCTTCTTTCTTTGTACAGCTGCAAATACTAGAACAGATCAGTGAAGAATCAACCAAGAATTTTCTTGACCAAGTTTTTTAAAGGATAAACTACTAAATATATATTATCTATGCTGTAAGCAAAATCTAATTTCTGTTTTGCATAGACTGTTTTGTGATGTCTTAGAAGAAAAAAGTCCTCAGATCTAACTCCTGGTACACAGCCGGACTTAAACTTCCTTAAAAGCAAATGTGAGATCTTTGTTTCAGCTTTGACCAGCAGATGGGTCTGAGTTTACAAAGTTAATTTAAGTCAGTTTGGATTCCATATTCTTATTTCGTTTCATTACTCTATTGCTAATTATAATCAATTATAAATAGGAGCTTTCTAGGACTTGATTTAGATCTACAGGTTTGGGGTTTTTTTTCC